GCCCCCATTAAGACATGTCCTCTTACCCCTCAATCAGATCCTGATTTACTCTGAGTTATTATTGTATTAGTCCAGCCTTCCTTCATTGTTCACATTTCTGCTGCTCAACTCTCTCTGTCAGCAGACAGTGACCAAAGGCATCACACCAAATCTGCTGCTTTTGAGGAGGATTCATGCTATATTTAGCGCCTCCACACACAAAGACACATGCACACATCATGCCATTCAAAGAAACAAAGGCTCGCGCGCTCCAGACTTGCGAGCATGGGAGGAGGATGAGGTGTTTTTTTCCAGTCTCTCCTCTGGTGTATCGTCTCTCTGTTGTCTTGAGCCCGGGATGATGAGGCCAGGCAAGCTGATAGCTCTGCTTTGTCTCAGTAAAATAGAAATGCGTTAACACAGTGGGTGAGCCCGGACTGTGGTCAAGTTAACAGGGCTCATAGCCGTGAGTTAGCAGAGCACATAAGTAGGCTTTATGGCTGATTGGTCTTTTATGGCCTGTGTGGTTCTTGTCATACTTCAAACTAATGTCATCAGTAACTACTCCTCTGGAGATATTGCATTAGCCTTGGCCCGCCCACTGTGTCACTGCCTACCTTTTTCCATTACTGTATGACATCTCTGAGATAAGATAAATCTTAAATGATCCCTGTGGGGCAATGGGGTCACAGCGGCAGTACAGAATTAATTATAGATAGAAAAACAATGCGGTTTATCACCGTTTGTCTTGGTGCGTGCATGTGTGTTAGTGTATCAGGCTGCTGTTGGTGATGTTGAAGGGGGGGAAGTGATTAAAGAGGCTGTCCCTCAACCAGAATCGATTTGGTGTAATTGCATCCTCGGCGGGGTTTTCCTGTCATGATGGGGTTCTAATCCTGGTGACACCGGAAAGCCAGATGTAGCCGGAATCCACATGCTGCCAACAACCAGAGAGTATAGCCGATTCTCATATCATTATTGCACAGGATTGACGTCTGCATTGGGAAATTTCTTGTTTTGAATTTTACCCAAAAATCGAGGCAAACCCTTGAACACTGTCTAAATAGCACAGATGTGTTATGTTGCAAAACGTAAGTATTGCTCATTTGTTTTTGTTCTCTAGCAACAATCTTTTGTTAAAAACATGACTCAAGACCAAAATGTTTATTCTAAATGTCGGTACTTTTCAAAACTATAAATTGTATATTAATAACAGAGATCGTATCCTTTATAACACATGGTGTCGAAAAGTATCAAAGTATTGGAAATTTGGCAACTTGACATTGTAGAGATGGGAGTGAGAAAAGTCTAAATGGTTCATTTTGGCAATACAGTGAGGGTAGGTAGGGGAGATGTCCTCAAAAGGTGTGCAAACTGCTTATTGTACCTGTGCACTGGTGAGTTTCATAACTCCAGACAGGAATGGAGCTAACAGGGGGATCATATTCTGAACATAATACACAACACGCTGCTAATGAAGACGCACCTCACAACACACCACCAAAGCCAGCTGGCGCCGTCATTCACAGAAAACACTTCAATGAGGAAATCTTCATTGAAACTGAATGCAGGAAGAGTGCTTCCTGTTGGTTCAAAATGTAGTCCATGCACGTCGATCTGTGAAGGAAGGTGATGAAATGCGACTAACATGCTGTGATGGAAAAAAGTATTCAAATGATTTTTATAAGACAATGTAACAAGGCCACATTGTAAACGTATAGTATAATCTTTCCATTTAAAAAAAAAAAAAAAAAAGTATTCTCAGTTAAATACTCAAAGATTATAATTATATACTCAATTTTTCACATGTAGGAAAGCCTTTAGCCTTTGGGTCGAACACAAAGTTAAGTAGACTTTTACAATAACATCAGTCTCCTGAACTCTCCCGTAATAAAAGCCCCCTGACAGAAAGCCCAAAAGTCAGACTTTAAGGCAACAAGTGTGAGCCAATCACAGCACAAGATTATGACCCATTCACAGCACAGTAAGCATTATTAAGTGATACTCTTCTCAGATAAGAAATAAGGCCAGTTTCTCGGCTCCACGTTGTTTGGTGACCTTTTCATCCGCCCGTCATTTCTCTTTATCCTCGGTTGATTCTCTGATGTGGAGTACTTGGAACATAAGCCTTGTTGAACACATCGTTCCCGGACTCCCTCATCAAGTATTGATGCCCTGTAGTATGATAGGTCTTAAATGCTGGTATGTGTTTTTTTGTACGTGTATGTGCTGTTCCAGATGTCTGACGCTGTCACTGAGGACGTGCTGGATAAGCACCAGCCTCGTGTTGGTGACAGCTTGGCTGCTCGTTTGCCAGTCCTCACATTTTTGTGTGGCTCCTGCATCCTTCTCTCTCGTATCTCTTGGCTTAATATATGTGCCTATTCGCTTCTTCTGCTTCCCCTTCTGCCAGAATACTCTGATTTTCTGTATTGCATGAAATGTTTGGATGCACAAATGCCTTACAGTCTCATCGTTGTCAACATAGCAGACCTGAGCATGCTTGTATTACAATCTCGAGGAAATGGACATTTTTGTTTCATTTTTATGTTATGTCAATGAATAATATGTTTGGAGTGGTTTTATTTTAAGCCTTTTAGAATCTGATTTGGACTTTCAAATCACTAAAACGGCTCTGAGCATGTAGCATTTACAGTTTAAAATGGAGACTTTATTTTAATCCCCATGTTGCATTCTGGATGGTAGGGACGTGCAAGACTAGCCGACTATCTCTCTCAAGGCCACACCAGAATAACTAGTCGGTTAAACAAAATGATCACATTTTCACATGCTGGCCCTTAGTTTTGGTCAAACGTTGTGATAATCTGTAACCCAGCTAGCTGCCACTATTGCTGGGCTGTTGCCATAGACCGGCTGTAGCTCAAGCTAATGGTCCTTCTCTTCTGACTCCACTGCCCAGATGTAAACAAGCTCATAATGGGTAGCTCCTTACTGCTTGTAAAGAGCAGTATTTTGATTGACAAAGTTGAGATACAACTGTATGTAGGATGTGTTGAAATGGCATCGACCAGAGCGATGCATATCTACATTAAGCACAGGCATGTGGACGTTAAGACACAACTTTAGCCACTCTTGGCAAACCAATGTACATTGCTAACCAGCAGTCAATTTTAACTAAATTGTGTTCAATTGATACCATTTGAACTGTTTCCTGAGTGTTTTTCTTACCTTTAGAGTAGTTGGTTAGTCATATCTGTTTAACTTGCTAAGATATTAGTTGAAAGGAAAATCCCTAGTTTGTAGGAATATAGGATGATGTTGCTGGATATGCATGTTTTTTATAAATGACACGAGTCTGCTTACATGGACTCTTGCAGCCCGGATTTGAGGCTTATCATAGTTTTGAGAAAATACATTTACACGGAAGCCACATAACAAAGAATTCAAAATAGATACTTTACTACTACTGCTGATTATACTGTATGTGCAGATATCTGGTGCATCAAGAAAAAGCTACAATGTCCAGACAGTAAGTCTGAAATTCCTCAAACTCTGAACCTTGATTGATCTGCCCTGGCCATGAACAATAGAAAAATGTGAGAAATTCTGTTTATTTGATGGATTGCCCCTTGAGATGAACCATCTCGTTTTCGAGGGGGGGGGGGTCCAACACAAAAACAAAAACACAACAGTACAGTGTGATACAGACAGTCAAGCACAAAATACACACATAAACAAAAAAGGCTCTCAAACACCCATCCGCCCACGTATTCCTCCCGCAAAGCCACAGCACCCAACACAAAATCATCAGAGGTAGAAACACATGATGACATATGCGATCAAGAAAACAAAAAGATATGATCTTAAAGGGGCATGAAGACATTACCATTAGAAGCAGCAACATAGTTTTGTGAGAAAAGGTAGCAGTGATTTCTTAAAAATGTGTAGTGAATTTATTGTTCTGATGTTTATAGGTAGATTGTTCCAGTCAAAGTAATATAACGTTTTTCTAAAGTTTCTACATTGCTGTATCAGATGTTCTAGTTTTGTTCAGAGTTGTCCAGAAGTGAAACGGTCTTTGTTATCATAGTTCTGGTTTCTGTGAGGTCATGACCGAACTAGTGCTCATGGAAATGTTATTATATTGTCTTTAATCGAGGTGTGGGCTTTCAGGGTTTAAATGGTAATATGATGTTTACACTCCAAACAAACCAAAACACAGAGTACTTCAAAAACGCATATGATTGGGATACTTAAATCCATTTAGTCTTACTCAACAAGAAAAATGGAAGCATCAACCACACAATCAATAATATTTTTTTTTTTTATTGAAGAAGTTTCCACATTAGCGTCAGAGAGGAGGGAGTGTGTTGTGGGAAATGCTCTGCTGTGTCCAGTGAAACCTGGCCCACGTTGAAGAACAAACAGAGAGCTGAAACAAGACTCCTCCTTGTGTATTAGAGTAATTAGAAGTTCTTCCTGCAGGGGAGCCCAAGCCTAAATATTTAATCTGCAAGGAGCTGTGGCAAAACATGTCATGCCGCCTGCGTCTTTTGTGTCCGGTACACACAGTCTACAGTGAAGGAGCAGCTGGTAAGAACGATTTGTGTTGGAAAAAGGATGGAGGAGCGTGGAGGGCATTGTGTATGCCCGACGGGCTTTCAGGAGACAATCTGGAGCATGTCTGCACTGTAGTATGGAAGTGTAGATGTGTGTCAGAGATAAGGTAGAATTGTGTGAATGTTCAGTATGGGAACAGAAACAGCAGCCGACGGTGTGTGTGCGTGCAGCAGACAGAGGCTGGAGCTGTTTTGATCAGAGAAAAGAGAGATGGAGATAAAAAAAATAAAGGCTCTCATCCGAGCAGAGAGGTAGCGGCATGGCTCTGCGGGAAGGGAAGAGACCCAGGCTGACAGAGAGATGAAATACAGGCTGGCTCTTCGAGGCGCGGGCACAGTCAGTTTTTTTGGCTGAACACTGGTAATCGCAGATGGATTTTCCTCTTTAATGCTCACTTTCATCTCCCCTCTCTTCTTCTCTTCTTCCTTTTTTTGTGACAGATATGTGTCACAAAGATGTCCACACGCAGCTGCCAGGGATCAGACTCGGTCATCAAGCCCCTGGACACCATCCCTGAAGACAAGAAGGTGAGAGTGCAGCGCACGCAGAGCGGCTTCGACCCGTTTGAGAAGCCCGCCAGCCAGGTGAAGAGGGTCCACTCTGAGAACAATGCCTGCATCAACGCCAAGAGCTCGTCCACCGGCAAGGAGTCCCCGAAACTGCGTCGTCACTCCAGCCCAAGTTCTGTAAGTACAACACATACACTCATTGAGGAATTTATCTTTATCCCTTCAAATTTGTCATACTTATCTTCATGTTTGTGACCCCAAGAAAAAACATTTGCTATTGGCATCTTAAATCAACTGATGAGAAAGTCATGTGTCACAGTAGAAAGAAAACTTCCTGGTTACAAATAACCATAAGATCAGTAAAGATGAGTAAGACAGTGATGACCTTATTGACAGTTCAGACACAGATCCAGTCTTGGTTTATGCAATCTCTCCAGGTACTGACCACACACATGATAATAAAAAACAGTGATATTGCACATGGTAGTAATAATAAAGGAACATTGGATATGGTAATGAACATGGTAAAGCCCAATATGGAAAGTTAATATTACACAAAGTCAAGCACTCTCAAAACATGGTTTACCCCAATTGTAAAAATGTAATACTGCACGTATAGTAAGATAGTATTTCAAAAAATAGGAAAGTAATCATTGCACATGATGATGAACATAATATAGCCTCAGCAAAAAGAACCCCACATGATAAGAAAGTTATTTTCCTTGCTGTTGAAAGTGGAGGGTTTATACAGTTTTATGGCCAAGGCAGAAAAAGAGCCTCTCTTTGAGGAACAAGATTTTTCATTGGAGAAACAGCATTTCAGCACACTGGCTGAAATGATATCCTTTAACCCATCGGTTATAATGCTTTTCCACCACAGTCTGGCTGCTGACGTTGCTCGTTGGACTGTTAAAAATGACCATCAGACAGAAAAAGGATATCCAATATCAGTTATCACGAAATCTGCTGGCAAGCCCCGCAAGCAACCAAATTGTCATTTTAGCTTTTGGCCCAAGAGGCTGAATCATTGTCAATGATGGGTTCTGGGATAGCAAAGTACCAGAAAGACAATAGTTAAATGTCATGTTACTGAAATGGAAGGACTTTCTGCACAACTTTGAGTTAGGTTCTGATTTATTGGGAGTCTGCAGTCTGCATATGCAGCGGGTTCTTCTCCTCTTGGGGTTAGCTATCATTCATTTATCTGGAGGAAAACTGAAGTGGGTGTAGTGTAATTTTGGTAAGATTAAATCGGACTTGGAAAAAGTTGGCTGTGAAGACTTTGAAGGAATCATTCAATCTTATGAGATTTCTTTTTCCTGAGTGACATTTGAAGATTGAAGAGTGGGAACCATAGCCTTCGTGCTCCGTACACGGGGCACGCACTCACTGTGCCTCAAATCAAGTTCTGACTTATTTCACTCGCTATTTTGGTGTTTATGCACGCTCAAACTTCCAAATATGCCAAAAAGAAATGGATGGAATATTAACAATATCAAAAAAGGTGCAGAATCCTTAACACCTCTCCCTCTCACTGGTTGGTGTCTTGGTTACATAGTGGAATGGCGGTGCTTAATGTAAGCACTGAAGGTAGCAGTCATTCAGTTATGTGAAAATTTTTTGGATAAATAAATAAGTCAAAACTAGAGCAGATTAATTTTCATTCACTTTAATGAAACTTAACTTAAGCCAATAGAGCAAAGAAGACTGTAGCTATTTTGGTTAGGGACAATCAAACAAAAAGTTTTGCAGTCATGCTCTTCTTATGGTGCGTTCCATTTGTTCTATGAAGTCGGAAATTCCAAGTTGCTAATCTGATACGTCATTGGGAACGCCTGTCTGATGTCGGAATTCCGACTTTGACACTGAGGAATTTCAGTCGCCCGAGTTAGAATCCAACATTGCTGCTATGTACATTAACAGTAATGTTTAAGCTGTAACTATAGCGTTTATTAGCAACTTAGTCCTCTTTTTGTGCAGTTAAATCAATCACACAAATAGTATTGTGCAAGTTCTATCAGTGGACATGTTTAAAGTCATTTTCATGCGCAAACTATCCCGTAGTGTGTTGTTATCGCCTGGTATTAGCTAACGATACAAAGGTACTCCTGGAGGCGTCCATGCCGCTTTCACAACTTTTTGCCAACTCGCAACTGAACACGGGTGTGACATCATTCCCAGCTCCACGATCTGTGAATGAACAAGATATGGTCAAGACATTGACATCTCCAGTGAGTGCACAACTGCTGCATAAAATCTGAGACAGGACTACTCTGTGCAGTGCAGTGCAGGAATTTGGACACAACAAAAGTACGTTATTTGAGACACAGCATCACTGCGGCTCCTAGAAGCTGCACACGCTCGCAGTGCCCGGCTGTTGTTTCTCCAAGAAATAATCTCAGTATGTACCTCCTAAAATCACAGAGAGTTATAATGATCAGCAGAGAGACAGCTGGGAAAGGCCACTACATCAACAGAGCTGGTGATACAAGGCTTGGTAGGAAGTCACCTCTGCTTGAGTTGATAAACAGTGGGTAAGAAAGCAGCTAACAATCGTGCCTGTGTTGCCATGGAAACACAGACTTGAATTTCTGAGATAAGATGGAAGAAGAGATGTGTTATGTTATGCAGTTTTCTTTTGCTAATAATGAGACGGTTGTCATATTTGGTGACTCTCTTAATCCCACATTAGACAGGTTTTGAATTGAAGAACAGTGCTGGTTGATGGGCAGTGTAGGGGCTCAAGTAGTTCAAGTCCATCATGGATCAGTTTACATGGAGGTGTGCTGGTAGCTGATGAGGTGCCATCTATGCAAAAGTCCCTTTTGAGAGCAAGCGGCAACCTCCAGTTTTAAAAATGAAGCCAATGTGGAAGTAAAAAAAAGCTGCCGTTCCTTGAGTGTCCACTTGAGGCTGGCTCAAGGGACACTAGCTCACTTTGCTGGTGACCGAGAACTGCTAGTGTACCACAATGAAAGTTAAATGAAATGCTGTTTGACTGGTGATTAAATCTCGTAATATCGGTGCATATCAGAGATAAAATTAGCTGATTACGATATTCACTGGATCAGCTAATATCGGCCGATTTTATTAGGTGGCTGATTAATCGGTCGGGCCCTAATAATGACCTGCTGGATATTTGTTATCTTGGTTTTTACACAGCTTACATTCCCTAAGAAAATAATAATTCGACAAAATTGATTGACTGGGATGTAATTACAATAATAAAAAACACATTCTAACTCTTTAAAATAATTGGTGGTTTATTAAGCTTCACATTAGCCATGGTAGATTCAGTGTCCTTCTTAGAATCAGACTTTTTAGTTTACACATTAAACTGAACTTTTCCAATGGGGATGAAGAAGAGGAAGGTTAAACAAACCACATGTATCACTGTCACACCTCAGTTAGCTTCTCTGCCTTTGAAATGTAAAGTCTGTTGACATCTTATTATTCCATCTTTCTTCTTTTATTATTTAATGAATGAATGAATGGCGCTTCTTTCAGTGTATTGTGTTGAAATGGATGTTGTCGTCTGGAGTGTATGATTAGAGCTGAAACAGTCTGTTTAGATATAGGTGACCTTAGAAAGCTTAGTTGACCAATCAGAATCATTTAACCGAGGCCCAAAATAATAAGTGTGATTAACAAATAATTACAACTAAGAGCTGGGTGTAGAAAGCCAGTCGGTGGGTTTCCATCATTAATTAATTCAGATGTTTAATGGAATTGTGTATTTAATATTCAAGCTATTTGCAGTACTGTAAGTATAAGAAAGGGTTAAATCAATTATTGTTATTGTTGATTGCATTTGCATTGCTTTGACGTGGTCATTTTTTTTTTCCAAACGCTGTCAAAGTCCCAAATTACATCTTTATTTCTCAGGTGTTTTTGTTTTGGCCCGACGAGCTCTTTCATTGTGTTCTCCGTCTGAAACACATTTTCCGTCCTGTTTTCAGCAATTAATTGAAGGCTGTTTACAAACAACATGGTTTTCTTCATCATGTAAATGAGATTTTCAGGTTTTATACATATTTGGCTTCCTTTTTAATTTGGCTCCAAATTTGAAACGGCTAATGAATGTGCACACAAAAAAAAAAGATTTAATAAGTGTGATATGAGGCCTGACTGATTGCCTGCCAGCATCGCTGCGAGACGCTAATGAGTTGTGTCAGGAATGATTATCAAAATGTGTAAATTGCCCATTTCATGGTCCTTTTGTCTAGGCAGCCCAACTCTTTCAGGTTTCTTACTCTTACATCTTTCTTACAGAAATGGGAAAGGTTATTATTTGGCAAAGGGACATAGCCTTTAATTTGAGCTGAAGGTTTCAAGGTAGCATCAACACTTTATGTAAATGTTTTGCTCATGACTGTAAGCTACGGTATAAACTGGATGTCTCTAATCAAAAGGAAAAAGTTGGCCCAAGGTTTTGAAAAAAGGCAGTGAACGTCAAATCTGGTTGTCCTCGAAAAAGATAAGCAGAGAGTGGACAAAATGGTTAAATTACAACAATTATGAGGATGTCAAAGCAGCTTTCCTTCAGCCTCCTCATCAGACATTGATTCAACTGGCATTGGAGACACCTTTATTAAAATCTAAAAGTCACTATTTACTATATTTACAAGCATTTAACCAGAAAAACTGTCAATCAGACTACTGTACCTCCGATTCTGCTCCAATTGGCTAAATCGGTAAAATGCTGACTCCTGATTGGTTATGGGATGTTAAGCCCCATGATGATTGAGACCATGATTAGACCTCGGCCGTATCCGAATTGCCAAGTACATACTCAATCTTCAGTATGCAGTAGGCAGTATGCAGTACGTACTATCTGTGCTGTATACTGTTAGTACCTACTATTCAGGCAGATATTTGTGCCTACTTCTTCTGATTCATTCAGTAAGGAAGTGACATCATTTACGTTACCCGAACCGGCCGCATCCACCCGTTTTTTTTTTTGTTTTTTTTGTTTAGCTTTATTCAAGAAGAGTAATGCGCATATACAGTCAGGTAAACAAAAAACAATATCACAATGTAAATCAAGTAAAAGATTAAATAACTAAATAACATACAGTACATAAAGAAAAGTACAAATGAAAGACAGTAAAATACAGAATATAAAATAAACCAATAAAGACGCATTTAAATAGTGAACTCATTATTTAAATAGAGGGAGAACGGTTTTATAATAATGCAGATATTTGTTATATTTTCTGTTGTTAATTGAAAGTAGTGATTTCAGCTCGTTTGTGGGTGGTAAAATACAATTCATTTCCTGAAAGCACGCATCTGATCCATACTGCATGAAACCAGGAACTTAGTATCCACACTGAAATGTTCAGTATACTGAGGTGGACCCAAAAAATGCATACTGAATGACCACGAAAGTTCCGTATACTGAAACTCCTACTGAATAGTACGTACTGTATACTGAACTGTGACTATTTGGAAAGGGCCCTCTTCTCAGGAATATGTGGGTGTGGTGTGGGTTTGACTCACAGCTCCACTACCCTGTTCCTTTAGGGGGAAAAAAGAGAAGAAAGGAGGACTTGATGAGCTATTATCATACTTGTTGGTGGTTAGAATAAACTCTCACTATAGCTCCACATATTTACTACCTGCCTGCTTTAATAAGCTATAATAATTAAAAACACCTGTGTGAGTATACAGAGGCTTTAGATATTCTTTAACTCATGGGTTAAAAACTTGATTCATGATTGGTTTAAAGAATGGATATAATATTTGATAAGAGAAATGCAATAATTCAGGGTTTAATTGTTATTGTGTTACAATTATACACTGTAAATATTAATGGACGAAGCCTGAGTTTGGGTGTTTGGGTGACAATATTGGCACATTTGAAGAATCCCTACAGGTTAATAAATGAACCATCTGGTATCTTCAGACCTCTGTCATTGTCACAATAGTCCTCCAACCAGCTTTGTTATTTAATTCATTTGTCATCATATTGATACTGATCAATATAAACTCTAACTATATGTACATTCAGCATAAGTTTCCCTGGGTAAGATCTTTTGTTTTATGTAGTTCAACAGGACCAGACAAAGAGGCAACTTAACAAAAAGAAAAAACGGTGACGATTTTTACGATCAGACCTTTAGCGTGCTCAGCTCCTGAACAAAATTTTGACATGTAGAGTTCCTGTTCAATCGCCATGTTCACTGTCGCTTCCGTGTCTGTGTCTGTGCAGACCTGCTGGCTCAATCATGACCTTTGGATTAAACCATTGATAGAGAGCAGGTGGGGGGGCAAAAAGGATAGTGGCAAAGGATATGTTTGGTAGCAGAGAGAACTCCCATGATTTTCCGCTTGCCTCGATGTCATCTTTCGTCATTGTAGTTTTGATTGAGAGCCCCCTGGCTGCGGAATCTACGTATTGTGTCTTTAAACAACAAATTTAGATATTTGCAAATTTCCAGAATCTGCTCGGGCTCATATCCCTGCAATTATTTTAAAGGTGCTGAGACGAAATGAAGAGGTTCTGAGGCACTCCTGAAATGTTCTAAAATGGCCTATGCTGTAAATAATTTCTTAAACTGCATGGTGTCATTTCACCTCAATCTCTTAACATACTTGGCATCAAAAGAAAGGCCATGGACATCATAAATAAAGGTGTTTTGGTTTTGAATCAAGCACACATTATATAGTTTTATAGAAGCCAGCGTTTAAAATGTTTCCTGCAGAATGTTTTAGACAGAACAAGTAGTGAGCATGTGGATGAAAAATGTATGAGAAGGAATCTTTGTATTCTAATCTCGGCGTCACGTAGAGCGAGGGAACATGAGTCTCTGTGTGAGAGGCTCCACAGGCCGCCAGGAGGGGAATATCTTACTGTCCAACTGAGTAGTTTCACAGATAGAGTTACACTTCCTGCTTGATCCCAGGAGGACGTCTAATTTGTTTAGAGAAGCTCTCAGAAACTATGAGCTTATTTCAGCTGCACAGGATGGCAGGATAAACAATAATGCAGGCAAGGACAGTGCAGATGCTGAGAAGACTGAACCATGTTTTTGAGGCTCTCTTGGGGTGTGTGTGTGATGTTAGAAAACCAGGTTTCTTAAAGGTTGTCTTGGGTTTTTTATAAACATTAGAGCTTGGGAATTGCTTAGGGATAAATTAGCAATGCTAGTTGGTTGCACTGTGCAGTCCCAAATGAGGTTTGTCACAACAACTGTATTTTAGCTGCTGCAAATTTATGAAAAAATGTGTTTACTTTACCCGTTGTGTTTTCAATCCCTTTATGACTCTATTTTGAATGTCAGAGAAAAGTTATTTAACTGATTTCAAATCCTCTAATTGTAAAAAAAAGTCATGTGCAGGCTGGATTATTCAAGTCATACTGAGCAGAAGAACTGGTTAGCAATGACACAAGTCATTCTCACTAAAGTTTAAGTATACGCAGCTAAACCCAACTCTGTGTTTGTGGTTTGTTTGCAGCCAAGGTTACAGTAAGGGGGCTGCATTAGTGCTCATGGCATGTGTACGTTTTAGAGCAACATATAATGCTAAATAGACAACTTATTTTTCAGGAAGATCTTGATTTTTCATTAAGAACATGCCAAATCACCATTTAGCATGCCAGCTAAAAAAGAGATCCGTTGCAGCACTTCCAAAAAGTTTTTTGCACCTCTGGGTCATTGTGAGAGTGCGGGGCAGCTGTGGCTCAGCGGTAGAGTTGGTCATCCCTCCACTGGATGGTCAGGGGTTCGATCCCCAAGCTCCTGCGGTCACATGTCAGATGTGTCCTTGGGCAAGACACTGATCCTCAAGTTGCTCCTGTTGCTTCATTGGCTGAATGAGAACGTGTATGAATGGGATGAGTTAACACTGATGGTCACTTTACCCAGCAGCCTCTGCCATCAGTGTGTGTGAATGTGTAGGTGTGACCTGTGTTGAAAAAGCACTTTGAGTAGTCAGAAAAGTGCTATACAAGCTCAAGTCCATTTAACATTTACTAGATATATGCCAAAGAACGTTCAGGTTAAATGACCTGAATTTAGCTTTCAGCCACTTTTACAAAGAGTAGGGTTTAGATTGTAATATGTTTTTTTTTTTTAGAATATAACTGATTGATAATGCAGTGTTTGTGAATATGCAAACAGCTGAAGATCTGTTCCCATACAGTTCAAAATCAGGACATTGATTTATCTGTCTACTTCCCTTCACACCCAAAATATCTGACTGCCCTGGAGTTTGATTTTCTACTTTCACCAGTCATTAACAAACCCTATAGCTCCTTTAAAGTGACTTTATAGGGCATGGCAGATACCGAAAACATTAACAAAAATCCAAACCACATCAGTGCAGTCACTTTTCTCTACAGCATCAAATGAGCTGAAGTCTTGAAGACGATCTAGTTTCCTCTTTTCTTTTACAAACAGCGATGGCCCTCATTGTCTCGCAGCTTTAATTGTACCTCCTCTTTGAGCGAACTGCTGACGATGAAAAGCATTAAAAAAAGTTATGAGCTGGCGATTAAATCAGAGCTCTCACATGAAGACTTCTGGAAATCCTCTCTCCTCCTACTCCTCATTGACACTGCACCCTCCCAGATGATGCAGCAGGGAGTTTTTTTTTTTTAATATCTCACACTGTCTTGCGATGTCTTCTTGGAAATCCTCTTGAGAGTTTTACTTTTCTGGGTTACTGATTTCTTCCTTTTAATAATACCTTTTCATATCTCTGTCTTTTTTCTTCAGCCCACAAGCCCCAAGTTTGGAAAGGCAGATTCCTATGAAAAGCTGGAGAAGCTGGGAGAAGGTTCCTATGCCACAGTTTACAAAGGAAAGAGCAAGTAAGTCGTGCATGCATGTCAAAACCAGACCTCTTGTCTTGAGTTAGTGCGAGCCATTCGAGTATTACATTTAATTACACCAGAGCCGTGTTGTTGTTGAGTGTTTTCATTACATGGAACAGCAATAACAGTTTCTTTGAATATTTTTTATCCTCTCTGTGGAGCTGCAAATTGAACACATGCATTGTAATTTCTAATGACTGTACATTACTTTTTTTTTTTCATCTGCTCAATAGTTCTGTCCCTGTATTTATAGTGTGGGGATTTGCTTCCTGGTTTTGCTAATTAAATTCTAGAAAATGGAAAGTTCCCACACTGTAACAGTATAGAAAGTACAGAGTCTAATCTTCTCAGTAATGATGTCAGTGTGTGTGTCGATCCTGCACAACAAACAGCCTTGATTGGTGAGCTTCGTTCAATTGTAATCCTGTGGCCTTGTACCCGAGTCTCACTCCGCTGCCGCTAAATTACATTTCACCCACTTAACAAACCTCGCTGTTCTCCAACTTCACACATTTTTAATAGATTTCTTTTTTTCATGTCACAAAAGGCATGACGAAATCCAGTGATTACAACAATGTGTCTGTCCTCTGTGTTGTGTTCAGGGTGAACGGGAAACTGGTGGCTCTGAAGGTGATCCGTCTGCAGGAGGAGGAAGGAACACCTTTCACTGCAATAAGAGAAGGTATGCCGAGCCAAGACTTCTACTCCCGTTAGATAGACATGGAGGAAGAAAGTGTAATCCTCGTTGAAATTAGTAATTGAAGAAATTCTTTTTTTAAAGATAATTAAAGAGCAAAACATCCTAAAACTCACTTTAGATTATTTTATGGAATTTAAGAGGCTCTGAGTTTAATTGAAGTTTGTATGCTTAAATCAGCATTTTGGGTTACAATCACATCACCTGATTCAGTAAAGGTTGACCATCTTGACATCATGAACTTGTGCATGTTTAACAATATAAAAGTGCTAAATAAAGATAAAACCTGATAATCAGACAGGACGCAGTGGGTGCTGCGTGCCGCTGTCCAAAGCATTCATTGTCTTATCTGTTAAACTGAGCTTAAGGTCGGGCTCGCTGTGCACGCTGTGCACGCTGCGCGGAAGGTAAAAAATGTTTTAATCAGGTGAAATGCTCTGTGATGACACCTCCACGCAAACCAAGATGAAGATCAGATCACAGCTGTTCTGTCAGAGTGATCGGCTGCCTGTAGTTTGCCCTAATTCTCTTGAGTCTTGGTGCAGCTCGCCCCATACAGGCTGTCAAATTGTTCCCTACTACTCAGCCTGAAGTACCCTTGGAAGCGCTCGTCATAGAGCTGCAGCTCCTGGACGATCCTAAAATCCCCCAAATCCTGCCATGCCCTGAGGATTTAATGAACGCACACCCTCTTACTCTTTGCTGCTTACCTCCTCAGCAGCAGCAGAATAAAGGCCAGGGCTTTCTTCTAAATAGTGGAAAGATACAGTATGCATCTGAAAAGTAGCTACTTTCCAGACTATCGTTTCGGTGGCCAGCGTGTTTGACTCCAGTCCCATGTCTGTGAGGGTTTTTGTCACACCTCTGCAGATGTTTTTTATATAGTAGTAGTAGTAAAAGTACATTTATAGAGATGGGCTGAGTCAGTTCAGCAGGTGTCTAATATACAGAGGCTACCGGTTTGTTCCCTGGCCTCGGCCTTTTCATGAATGTTTACTCCCACTCACCCTATAAATGAAGACGAAAAGGCCAAAAGCAATAATCCCTAAAAATAACATGACATTTATCTTGTTCCCAGTGCAGACAGAGATCAGACGTGGATAAAGCAATCCTTTGAAATCAAACAGAGGTCAGATATGGGTTAAAAAAAAAGAATGTGCAAGGAGCATCCGTTCCTCTCTTTAATGTTCTCTTCAAACGGTCGCCCCCGTGAACCACGATCCATAAAAAGGATTTAGGGTGAAGTTGGTGCAAAGTCACTCAGAGAACAGCCAAACGAACAGAAGATGTTCGAGAGGCCGCACAAAAGCAGAAGATACAAATAACACACTGACAGACGATCTGATCAGTGATTTACATTCTTACCTCGGTTGAACTGGAAAGCTTTCAAATCTGACGGAGCCCAAATGTATACAGACTAAAAAAAGGGAAATAAAATGTAGGGAATGAGAAAACACAAATCATGCCCACTCATCCAACTGTATCTACTGCTATCACACAGTTTAGCATTTTGTGGTCTTTACTGTAACCCTGAGTGAGCAGGACCAATTAGTGGGTCAGGAGCTGCTTTCTCACTTCTTGTAACTTTTTAGACCAATGGTTCCTCTTAGCAAAAGCAGAACGAATTTAATTGGTCGATACGAAGCTGTGTTCTTGTGATGAAATATTATAAGTAACAGCCTAATTTCAAGGAAATGTCTTCTTCCGACTGCAGTATTTGTATTTTACAGAGAATTCTCTACTGACTAACTGGTAAAGAAGCTGGCCTAGACATTCACCCTATAGCATGGGATGCTAAGCAGTATCCCATGTCTTAAACAGAAAGAGCTTTTTCTCCTCTTCCATTTGTGAGGACGAAACAGAATAAGGAACAAAGAGAGATGATGACTCCGGGAAAAACTTTTCTCAGCTGTTCTGAAGTCGTAAACATGAGAAGAAAACGATTTAGATCAGACTCTGAAAACTTATCTGCAGATTTTTCTTTTAACTTCCCCGTAGGGCTTCCATAGTTTTTCTTTCAAACACAGATCCAGAGTCCCTCCGGCTGCAGACTGAACAGACTGTAGGACTGTGTTGTTCCTCAGACATGCCACAGATTGGTTTCTCAGTAGGCCTCATTGTGCCTGTGTTGACAAAGCTTTGAGGTACTCATAGGTGATGACTCAGGTAATAATTATTTCTGGGTTTTAGGAGTCTTTTCAATCAAACCAGCACTCCTTTTGTAGCTCTTAAAGACACATCTATATACATTTCAGTTTGTTTCATAACCTGATAAAAACGCCCCACCGGAGCTTTAAATCCATGGTTATGACCTGACAGGCAAAAAAAGCAAGTAAAAACCGCTTGCAGTACACAGTGAATGGGAGTGAAATTTCACCAGTGTCAGGTTGTGTGCAGTGGGAGATGGTGGCGGTAGCACATGTGGTCGTTACACGTCTCATTATTTTATACTGGTGTATTTGGATGCTCGGGTATACAGGACTTTTTTAGACGTAAAAGTAGAAATGAAAAGTTCTTCATATACCGAATTTTAAAGTCGCTGTTTTATTTATTACACGTCAAGGTCATGACAGATAAAAGATCAATAAAAGTTCTGATGAGATTACAGTCCCCTATCTGAAATCCCTGTTGTCCTTTCATAGAAATAAAAGCCGCACAGAGGCTGTCCTGGCTCTGTTTGTCATGTCAGGTATGTGTGTGTGTGTGTGTGTGTGTGTGTGTGTGTGTGTGTGTGTGAAAACTATCTTATCTACACACACAATGTGCATTTGAATTTAGATTAGAAAATGATTCTGTCTGATCTGTAAATGATCCAGACCTTAAGAAAGTGAGAGGTATGAACCATGCACACACACACACACACACACACACACACACACACACACACACACACACACACACGGTCACACACACACACACACGGTCACACACGGTCACACCTCTCCCTGTGAGCGGATCAGAAAAGCACTTTGAAATTGAACTAATTCAGCAATTACAGCGCAGGAAGCTCCCAGCGCTGATATGTGAGCAGCATTACAGACTGCTGCTGAATAAAGTAATATATTCAGAGAGGAGGAGAGTTGAGTGTGTGTGTGTGTGTGTGTGTGTGTGTGTGTGTGTGTGTGTATCTGCGATTATTAAAACTGCACACACTCCTGCCCATTACCGGAGATGGGGTGTATGTATATAAGGGAGGGAGATGGATCTTCAAACGGTGACAGGATCTTTGAGGTATCTGTAGCTCTAACCTTGTGCTCACTGGAGGAGTCCTGCTTCGACTGATTTTTTAATTTATTTATTTAACAACCTTCTACTACGAGTTGCATGTATTCATGAGGCTCCACCACTCAGCACTTCTCTGAGAATCCGTCTATCAGAGCCCCCCCCCCCCCCTCCCCCGTGCCCTTGGAAACTTTTGGTTTGCAAATTTAAAATTGGCAACAGTGTGAAAATCCCATTTACGTATTGTAATAAAAACAGCACTTATTATGCTCCTCTCACGCTCTGAAGCAATCACAGGTGACATTTTCATTAGGACAGCCGGGGACGAGTTTTTCTGTCAGCTGTTTGTTTGCCTGTGAAAACGTCTACCAGAGGGCGATGGGCTTTATTTACCTCTGAAAACTTCAGGGTGGTCTCATAGAGTCATAGGTTATCCAGTGTTTCCCCCCTACCATTCATTTGGAGAGGCACCTTCTCTGCGAGTAGATTCTGAAGATTGGAGGCACGTTTTTAAAATCCAGTAAGCAACAAAAAAACAAAAGAAAAAGGCTCATTAGACCCTGATCTACCGTTTGAATTTGCACCTCGTTTTTTACGGGTGCAGAATTTTCCCACAGAAAATTAAGCCCTGCTATTTACAGCTTACACAATGCGTCGCTTTTTTTCAAATCTCTTTTTAATATTTGAATAATCCTCCGTGATTGGACTAAAGGTTTGAAGCGGATGGCTTGTGAAAGTCTTAACAAGTCTGTCCCACAATGTGCCGATCACACCCAGCTCCACCAGTAAGACTCTTTGAGAGAGAAGCTTTGGCAGCAGAGTAATGGGCAATTTGTCCATCTCCCCAACGCATCATCGCATTGCTACACTTCTTAAGCATGTCCATTACATCATAAATGTGTTGATTAATGAGTGTGAGAGCTCACTGCAGTAAATCCACCCTGTGTTTTCTTCTCCTGCTGTAATCTTTTCTTAATCCCCTGTATGTATGTGGTGAGGCTTCCAGAGGCTCTGTGTTACATTCTAATGATGCTGCTAATGAAGGCATAGATCACAGCAATTCCTCTGGTATCTGAATATGTGCTTTCCATTAACTCTCTGTCCTGATCTGTCTCTGCAGCATCTCTTCTGAAAGGCCTGAAGCACTCCAACATCGTGCTGCTCCATGACATCATCCACACCAAGGAAACCCTGACTCTGGTCTTTGAATATGTGGTGAGTGTGCACACGGCCAGGCTTTTTTTTAGGGGCGGAGGTCTGAAATTAGTCTGAGGATTCTGTTTTTGGTGTTCAAAAGGAAGAGAAGCCACAGTTTGAAAGGGTCACAGAGGTCAGCTCTCGACTGTGTGTGTTTTGCTCTGATTGATTTGACCTCAGAGTCTCCTTGCTGACTGGGGTTTCAGTTTTTAATACTCAGCCCACAGAAACATGAGCTGTGGATATTTTGATTGGCATACTCTGGTTTATAGGGGGGCACTTGGAGAATTTTAAATGCAGCCCTGGCTGTTTCCACTCCATGCTCGGTGCCAGTCAGCCAGAGGCACCAGAGGCTGCTCTTTCTGTGCCCAGAACAGGAAGCCAAGCGGGCCGTTTTATTAGAAGGCAACTTTTTAATAATAGAAAAAGCTTCCTGCTGGAAAAGGCTGCAATTTACAAAAGTAAACAACTAAATTAAACCTGAGGGTAGAGATTTAATTTTGACATTCTTTAAAATCAGTTCTGGGGTTAATCAAGGTATTAAATCTTAGTAGTTTTTTTCAATAAAGGTTTAAGATGCACTGATTGAGTCTTTGGCCGATTCCCATCTTCAAGGTCTGAACTAACAAATGCCAGTTTCAGATGATTTCAAAATGTCCTTTCTTTAAGAACTATCATTGACATAAAAAAAAAAAACTAAAATATAAAACTTTTAAAAATGGAAATTCGACATGGTGTTATTAATAAAACGCTTTTATTTAAAAAAAAAAAAAATCAACAACAAAAAACTGCACTACGCTACATGACCGTCTCTCATTCTCATGTAAAGTAAAATTTGCTTCCCTGTATGCAGCCAATCACAGCTGAACGTCGGCTGATTTTGGTCACCAGCCGGTCAATTGGTGCACTTCTACTTTTAACCTGGGTCATTAGTGTAACTTATTTTGAGATTTAGGAGTTTCAAATAGTTTTTTTTTTATTGCTCCTGTAGATTACTTCACCTGTAGGCAGTGTGAACGAGTAATAAATGCTGGATAGGGCTGTCTCGATAACTGTCACAAAATGAATCTCTGCGGTATAAACAAGCCAACCACGGTGAACGCAGGCAACCGCCATAACCGCATGTGAAGTCACCTCAACCCCACCTCATGTTCAGATGGACAGAAAGGGAACTGCACTGTTACCTTACACAAATGTAACTTCAGCATGGAGGGACATGCTGCAGATGAAGCCGATTTCATGAATCAAATAATAATAATGAACTTTTCCTCAAAAGTTATAGCCCCTTTAAAAAAAACACTGTTGTGATAAAAATGAAAATGGTTAATGGTTTTAAATCCTTTCCAAACCACTCGCTGCCATTTCTTTGAATCATGACTGAATACTCACTTTGACGTCATCTTCATCACGGTTAATGATGAACAGAAAGTTTCACGCTCAGCTCTCATGAGTGGAAGTTATAACTCAGGAACCGAAATGTTCAGAAAAGTCCAGATCCTCAGTTAACACTTCTGTCAGTCTCATTGATATTCAGCTCAATGTTAATCTCAAAATGCTGAGCGAGGCCAAATCTCTGAACCAGGAAAAGCTAACTCAGCTTTCCGTCGCTTCTGCATTTAATGAGAGGGAGAACAGTGCAGTGCCCCCTTTTGGTAGACGCTACATATGACACTAGTTCAGGTTTGAAAAGTGACTCGATGAGACACGAGTGGAGCTCAAAAGGTCAGAATAAATAAGGAATTTAGGCACAGATGTGGCTAAGGTAAAGGTGATTAACTTTACAGTCTTGATTCAGTCTGCTGTCACAAATCGGCTGTAACTAAAAGTTTTTGATTTTGATTCTGACCGGCTCACTTTGTTGTTTTAAGTTGCTAAAGTTGCTAAACATGTTCTTCAAGGCCAAATAACTACACTGACAAAATCTATATTTGGGCTTTTAATGTATTTTATTGGAGAGACTGACCTGTTAAGATCATGGTACATCAAAATGAATGATTGATCGATGAGACTTTCTCAGACAAAGCCTGAAAATTGAATTGGATCGTTGCAGCTCCGCTTACAAAACAAAAGAGAAGCTGCAGAGATAGACACATTTCTAACAAACTCATCAGAGGCCTTCAGCATACTTTTGTTCTGGGATTAAGATCTATATTAAATGTTGTTACAAGTTGTTCAGTCTGACCCTATTAGAGTGTGGGACCCTGTATCTCAGGTAGGATGGTAATAGTTGATATTCACTGTTTGGTACAGGGTTCTGTGGGTTGAAGTGGCTGCTGTTGTGAGCGGCATCTGGTGCCTTTGAAGATATTAATATAACAGTTTGTAGTTAAAAAAAAAAAAAAAAAAAAAGATCTTATTCTTGGACAAAAAGGTCTATTTCTGTAGGCATTTGTGTTTTGTTGTTGGGCACTCTCAGCCTGTCATTTTGTAAAAACAACGACATACTTAGATCTGATCATTTGACCCAAAGGTTATCGTGCTGCCACACGCTGAGGACATCCAACAGATCAGTAAAAAAAACTCTTTGTTCCTGTTATTCATTTACACCCCTAGGTTTGAAAAAGAAGTGTCCATGATTAAAATATCAGAACCCCCCTCCTTTTAAAAAATCTAAGCTGTGCAAATGTGTCAGAGAGCGGGCTTCATGTTGATCCATCATCTTCAGCCTGAGCTGTTTAACATACAGAAGGGTTTTCAACCAGAAAATCAGTTCATAGATTTCCTCACACAGCTAATGATGATTGACAGGGACAGGGTGACAACCACAGGGAGAGGGGACCATGAATCAAGCAGGGACCCCCCCCCCCCCGAATATATTACCAAAGAGAGAGTAAGACGGACAGGCATGTCCGTGTTGAAGCACTCGTCTGAATAATTCAGCAGACGAGGTTCTGCTGGTTCAGGCCGCAGTGGGAGATTGTTGAGATTGTAAATATCAGTGTGATTTCAGACGTACGGCCTCCTCCGCCCTCAATCTGCTAACAAAGGTGAAGGGCGGGTCAGCGATACACTGCGTGCATGTCACATGAGTCAGTGATGGTTTTGTGATAGAGAGCTTTTGTACAAATCTCACATGTTGCACCCAAAACAGATTTCTCTCGATGTCAGGACGGGGAAGCTTTATTATGACAGAAATATGTGACATCGATAACAAAAAGACGTCTATTTTTTCCATTCAGACGTATCTAATTTCCACTGTCTGGTCTAAAGGATGTACAATTCTGGACTTCACTCAGTCACATTTAATATGAATGACCTTGAACCACAATCATTATTCTGTTTTTAGATTTTCAGGCTGTCCCATAACTTGTAGTGAGTTTTTAAAAACATTCTCATGTTTCTTTTTCTTTTGTTTTTCAGCACACAGACCTGTGTCAGTACATGGACAAACACCCCGGGGGGCTCCATCCAGACAATGTGAAGGTATGCTTTATGAAACTAAAACATCTTGTTTATTAAGAACATCGTCTTCTCAGAAGTTTAGCATTGCATAAAAAACAACAGGATATGTTGCTGCTGTCAAGTAGACAGCAAAACAAGAAAAGAAAAAACATAAGCAGGGTCATAGAAGATAGAAGCAATCATTGTTTTAAAATAATATTTAGTCTGTTCTCGATCCAAGCATGATTTCACACCTGTGAAACGTGATGCACCTTTATATGCATAAAGCTTATCATGAGCAAATTCAGACCCATCCAAGACAAAATATAAGAAGCTCTGAGCCTCTTGCTGTCCGAAGTGTAGAAGGTCAGATAGTAGAGAAAGTGTAATGGTCTGTTTTGGGTGGCTGATGAAGATCGTAAATGGTTCAAACTCAGGACTAAACAAACATTATTGTCTCCTGGATGAAGTCCTGAAAACGTAATGATTACTCTTATGAGTTTACTAAACTTGCAAAGGCAGTGGTATTATTGGAGATGCTTTCTTAACTAAACTTTGAATCATCTAGAAACAGGTGAAGAGACGGGGCTGAGGCAGCATTTGCATCTTCAACATGTCAGTCAACTCTGCCACTCCCACAATTATGCAAATGTGTGAATAACTCTGAGGCTTATTGAAATCCAAACTGAGATATTGAAGGATTCATCCTCCATACAAGTATGATAAAGATAATGAGCTATTGGTACCAAAACCTTTTTTTTTGTACGAGGCCGTAAACTTTTTAACATGGCACTTAAAGGAACAGCAGTTTTTGGCACTTCTGCATTTTTCGACACGGGAGGGTACCTCTTCAACCAAACAGAACATCTCAGGTTAAGGACATGCTAGAAAGAGGTACGGAAAACAAACAGAAAATTAAGCTGACCATGTGTTGGAATGGCAAAAAGACCATGAATGAAAACTGTGTTTGTTGGCAGGTAGGACATAAGATTAGGCATGAAGACTTATCAATATCTGATATGAATTTATTTAGCCTGACTGAAACCTTAATTTGAAGGTTTTAGGTACATAATATTGATATCATCTACAGCTGAAACAATAAATAATCAGGTTTAATCTTGTGTTGTGTCCGTCCCTGACATTAACGGGACACAAAGCTGTGTGAGTCTGTGCTGGAGAAGCCGGTTGATATTCGACTGTCTCTCTCTCTCTGCTGGAACATGACTTGTCTGTGGTGTTTTTTTTCCCGCCTGTTAGAAGGTGTTGGTAATATGAATAAACAGGTATAAACAAACGATGATGGAGGGAATGAGGCCGTGTGTTGTTGCTGTTGATGGGGGTGTCTGGATGTTCCATCATGCAGCAAGGTGACAGTTCAGGCTACATCTGTTATGTAACAGCTCGTACCTTTTGCCACTGAGGATTTACATAAGTAATATGTGTTTCTCCTGCTGACAGCAGCCGCGCTGAAATCCACATGAATAATTTAGGATTATTCTGAGGGAAGCGGAGCGAGGTGTTGCTTGGCTCACGCTGACTTTTTTACCTACTGGTGAGACGAGTTGTGATTTCCTTATCTCTGGATGAGGCTTTGCTCCTGTGCGGTCATGTAATGAAGTCCCCGCTGGAATGATCCAGCACCAGTGCAGTGGTTGTAAGAATCCATCAAAGTGGGCAGACGGGCGGATGAAGTATTTTGGCGTTGTTTAGAAAATGATATTGTTACCTTAAACATCGGAGCTTTTAATTATCAGCGCTTGCGTCGTCTTAACTGAAGTTAACTGTACCGTGTAATGTAAAAGACAACCCATATGCTCGGATATCAATTAATGCTGAGTCTACTGAAGAGCAGCGGAGAGTAATGTCATCTTGACGAGGCCAATTATCTGTTGGAGTGGAGTGTGTGAGAAAACGAGTACATGCAGCAGCTCAGAGCGCGGACGTGCTCTACATGCAGTTCACACCTGGAAACCTCATCACAAAAGCAGCTCAGTGCTCTGATTTCATAAAAAGAAGTTTATTTTTATCGCACCTTTCACGACACACAGGGGTTCACAGTGCCTTATTGAGGCACAGAAAATGTATGCAAATCAAATATATAGAATTTTAATAACAAAGACAAACAAAAACAAAAAAAAGGAAGTTATTTGAAAAGAGGATTTAAAATAAGAGTGAATTACAGAGCAGAAGTCTGTCACATGCACTCGAGGCTGCTTCCCTGTGGTAGTTTTTTTCCCACCTGGAGTTAATCCGTCCCAGAATATGAGTAAGTAGGATATGTATTCGATCCCGAGTCAACTACATGTTTTATCTGCGGGTTACAACCCTTTCTATTCTTCGACTCATAGGACGCTGGTGCCATTATTTTAAAGACAGGTGATAATGTGCTCCACTTCCTTTGTGTTGGTGATGAGTTTTTGCAGAAGCTGCAGCTGTCTGATACATTATTTCAAGAAGCCACTGTAAATGCATGACTCTAAACCTTTAATGCATGGACAGTTTTAGTTTTTTACTGTTGGTGAGTTTTTAAATGGATAGTTGTATGAGGTACTTAACAATAGAGAGTATTGAGTGCTGGCGCCGAAGCTACTGTAGGCTATACGTGGCTGCAGATGTGGCCATTTGTACCAATGACGATGTATGAGTACGCTGAAAATCTTCAGCGCTTTACTTTGCTGTCAGCCAGCCACTTTGATTTAACACTACTCGGTGACACATGTGTTCCTCCCCCTGCAGCTCTCTGCTTCTCCGGTGAACGAGTCATCTTGTATTTTGCCTTCTAGACTGAAGTGATATTGTGACATTGAAGCATTAAAGAACGATAAATGATTGTCAGTTTGTTTTTCTAGCTCAGTTTCCCTCATCAACAGCTGACATAGTATATTTCTGATAAGGTGGGACTACAGGTTGTCGTTTTGCATTAACAGAAAAATAGTGAGCCGATATTTTTACTTTGACGACAGATTCCCTTTCAGATTTTGTGGTTTTCCAATTACCGGTAATATATGAAAATGTAAGAAGGTGCTCAAAACACTGGCGGTGTTGATCCGTGCTTTTTAAATTTCAAGATTACGGATCAGCATTTTAAGGATATGATCAAGTGTCGGTCATGTGAAGTTAGCGATGATTCAATTAAGATCCAAACACAAGTACCATAAAGGGAGTTAATGTCTGTTATTAGTGTTTTTTTTTATGACTGATGATGAGGAAGTGCAGTCACTCAACCAGCCTCCTATTTACTAATCAGCTACATAAAAGCTATTAGTGACTCCACTGGTGCTAGATCAAATTAACATCTAGAGAGATGCACTCAGACGCTCTCTGCTAATGTAGTTATTGGTCATGAACCAAAGAGCCATATGTGTGTGTGTGGGGGGGGTCTATCTGTGTGTGTGTTTCATCAGTCTAAAGTTAGAAATGTTGGAAGTTTCTGCTTGAACTAGCTGATCGATGGTAAAAAATCTATTGGAAACTTCTGTTATGCATCACCATTAACTTTTCTCGGCCCTTGCACTGTACTTGACTGCAGTTTGTTAGCGGCGCTGCAGTAATTGAGCACACGATGACCTCATCCAGCCGCTGCTGAAGTGCCCCTCTTATTAGATTATATGCAGTCAGCTGAAGGGCTGTGTCTCAGCGACATCTCTACAGATCAATTGGAAACCGACACCAACAAAGCATGTCGACAAGCCAGAGTACAGCCAACATTTGCTCTTACAATTACATTATGAGGGAAGCTGCTGATTGCATTAGTCATCAGTGTCATGTAAATATCAAGAGCAGGTCATCACAGCAAGCATCCAACACGTGTACACTACAAGAAACAACACTAACCAACATTTGAAAAGTAACCACAGTATTTTCATATTGTATAATATATGATGGAGTTATTTATGTTTTATTTATTTAGGAAAAGCATTCTTCACACCTTAGTAATTACACATAATAGCAGAATAAACGCAAGAGTCCTCCCTCAAACTTTCAAACATTGGAGCACTTTCTTTGCAGAAAGAGGTGGGTATGATGCTTGCAGTATATTTAACAATTTAGCTCTTCCAAAGATTTTTTCAAGTAACATGACATTAATTAAATAGAAATTATTTACAAAAGAACACAGGAAGCGTTCACTCTGGAGGGGTGGAGAAAGAAAATTAAATACAGAGCAGGTTAACGGATGAAAGAAAGTGACAAAAATGAGGACATAACACACATGTACTCCAATAAGTCAAATAAAATCAGGTCTTATAGGTTTGACATGTTTAGTCCATTTGGTCCATATCCTGTAGAATCTATCCTTCTGGATTTTGAGGGAAAATGACAGCCTTTCCATAACATATATTTCATATACTATGTCTGTCCACTCATCAATAGTTGGTGGGTTAGGTTTTAGCCATTTTTTTGTGACACTTTTTTTACTTGCTGTCAAAAGAATTTGTGTCAATGGAGTTATATTTTTAAGCAATTGAAAGATTATAATGGATAGATCTATACTAAGGTGCAGATGGTAATAAACACAATGACCTAGCTTTAAGAAGGGGATTAGCTCCCATGCAAGTTTGCTCCATTATAATAAGTCAGTTAAACGTATAATTAAAGTTATTATGATATTAATTCTGACCAGCAATGCCGATCAAATGTAGTCTCTCAACTGTAACTTAGTCGCTCGCCACTAGCCAGGGCTTATGCTCAGAGTATACCCATTCTGCCATAATGATCTAACTACTTGGATGGAAAGCAGCACAGTGGGGGACAGATGGCATCTTGTAGCGCTGAGCTTTTTGGCAGTTCTTTGATCTAGAAAAATGGAGTTTGAGTTTTATGTAGGCTTTTTCAAATTTAACTGGCATATGGACTGTAACAATATGTTACCAGCGCCGGCATGCATGCCATGTAGGCACCCTAAAAGTATAAAAAAGTGTAATTTTTTGAAGAATCTGGCTGTCTTGTCCTGCTTTTCAAAGTTTGGTAATAAGCAACCTGACAGTAAGACTTTGCAATAATCTAGATCAATAGAAATAAAGAAAAAACCTGCATGTTAAGAC